AACATTATACATCACCCAACCTAAATCTAATTTAAACACTGCATCACCCAACTTATATACTAGTGATCTTTATCTTAAAGGTAAAAAAAAATCACACTAGTAAATGTTCTTTGCAAGAGCATTACAATCTGAAGCATTGGTGACAAAAAAAAAAACAAAAAAAAAAATAAGAACCTCTCTTTTATATACTTACAGCACTTGTTGGAGTTTGAATGGTCATAACTAATAGCACTTGTTGGAATTCAAGTGATAATAGTTTACAGCATCTGTAGAATTTGAATGATCATGCAAGTTTTTTTTTTTTTTTTTGTAGCAATTATTACAATGCAGTACACAATTAACAATAGATACATAAATAGGTATTTTAGAATTAAAATTAAAGAATACAAATTGTAACGAGACTTAAAAGTAAACCATCTTAGAAGTGTTTTTCAGCTTTTTTTTTTTTTAACAATATTCAAATTAAATTCTCAAACTAAAGACATATTTGGTAATGATATCTTTTTTTGTTTTGTTCTGTATAGTAAATTATTATTAAAAAAGCAAATATATACTTATAATATTTAAAAAGATCAAATTGCTGCTGAGAATGCAATTGAATCATTAATTTACAACTATTCATTCTTTAATTTGGATGAATGAATTAAAAGTACCACCAGTTTTAGAAACACCAATGATCCTAGAAATACTAATGATCTTAAAGATATTAATAATTCTGAAGATACCAATGATTCTAAAAATACTACTGATTCTAAAGATTTTGGTATTGTTATTAGGCTAATTACTTTTGGCACTAGTTTTTCTTCATGGATATCTTTTGAGAAAAGCCTTGAACATTATAGTAAAAAAAATAAATTCAAACCAATAAAGAGTTAGTAGAATATAGACAATAAAACTGGAAATGTTATTTGCTGGTGTTTTGAATACAAATATTCTGAGAATTCAAAATTAAAGTCTAATGTTACCTGAAAAACTAATTCAAAGAAAATCCAATATGAATAGTGATATAATGCTAGCTATAGAAAGACTGAAGGGAAAATTTATATTAATAAACTTGTTGAAACATATAATTATAGCCTTATACTATATTATGAGAAGTTTGCTCTATCTTTGCAGCAATTATCACAAGAAGTTCTAGATGAAATAAAGTTTATAACACAAAAATATGAATATAATGCTCACTAGCAAAGATGTTATCTTGTTAATAAGTTTCCTGAGATTAATATCTATTTCAAGAATCTTTATAATACAATATGATAGTATAAAGCCCCTATTACCTTTAATATAAATAAGATGCTGCTGTAATGCTTGAATATTTAATTTTAAAATAGTGTAAGGATCTGAATTAAAAGGTTAATATATATTTTAAGGGTACTGACACTTTCTTGGCTCATTTGTTTTGGCAGAATCCTGATCAATCTCAACTTTGTGAACAGTATTATAATGTAATTGTAAATAATAATACTTATAAAACCAATATTTATCATATATTACTAAATATTTTTGTGAGTATTAATTCATATAATAGAACAAGATTGCTTGCACAAGCACTAGTTCAGGATAAAACACAAGCTACTTTTGAGTAGATCTTATAGTCTTTAAAAACTTTGAACAATAACATTATTTCATAAACGATCTTTACAGATAGTAATTCTAGAATGGCAGTTGCAATTCATAGTGTGTTTCCTAATACCAAGCATAGACATTGTTTATTTCATATTAAACAAAACATTTATAAACATTTTACAAGGAAACTTGCACATGATTAATACAAAAACTTCCTGAAACAATTTTATTGCACATATAAAGTAAATGCGTAGAACTTTTTAAGAATAGATAGCAACAATTATTAAATAATTTTTCTGAACATAAGTGGTACTTGAAATGATTATATTAATTTAGACATGCATGGGTTTTGGCTTATATATACTCAACATTTTGTGCTAGTATGAACAGTATCCAACATGTTAAAAGTTTTAATGCTATTTTAAAAGCTGAAGTTGAAGCATGAACTTCACTTACAAAATTAGTAGAAAGTATTGAAAAGTAAATTAATAATGAAGCCAAACATCAACATAAATTAGAATACCAAAATCAGCTTCTATTTATTGGTTTGTCTACAATCTATAGTACTTTTTTTTTAAGATTAATAATATTTTAAAAAAATATTTGACCTCTGAAGCACTTGAGCTTTAAAGACTTTAAATTAATTAATCATGTCTTTACCACCTCTACCAAATTGATTTGTCAACTTTTAATCAAGTAAGTATTAAAGTTTAGAACTGTTTATTTTTTAGTATGAAGTTTAAAATTTACAAACTATTACATATTCATTATCTATTTGGTTAGAATGATTATTCTGATTATGCCAATAGATTTCTTGAAAATGATTATCAGAAAAACTGTATACTACTTTTATTGATGTTTAAATTAGTTAAAAGCCAAAACATTCATAAAATTTGACATATTAGATTATTTAACAATTCAGTCTCTTGTGATGGACAATATATTGTAGTTTTAGATAATAATATTTATTTAAACTCCTGTATGTTATTTATTACTAAAGGCTTTTTCTGCTAACACTTTTTTTTAGTTCTATTTGTCTCTTCACTTATTAAATTCCAAATACAAATGATATTTTAACAGTGGTTTACAAGTTCTATAAGTATGATTGAGTAACCAATTACTGTTCAAATTACAAATAATATAACAGATATGCAAGAAATACAAAATAATGAATCAGGTAATAACTTTGCACTTATTGAACAACTTTAAGAGCCAAATTGTTTCAATTATGAAATTTAACAATATACTTCCAAAAAAGCTAAATATTGTCAAGATATTAGGATTGCTAAAAAAAACATTTAGTTTGCTCTTGATACTGATATAATGAATGAATTTATTAGGTTTATATATAGTTTTATTAAGTTAAAATCTATTAAATCTAATAATTCTTTAGATGATTTTAGAATAGTAATAAATCCTTATATTATTTCACATTATAGTTAACCAAAGAAACAATTACAAGATTCTTTGGATGATATTAATAGACCAGGTTCTTAAAAAATTCTTGAATTTAATAAAGTATTCTGTGAATCTGATATTACAAACAAGTCAATATGCAAATGTTCTTACTGTAATAATACTGGTTATTATGCTAAAACTTGTAGTTTAAATCCTAATAATAAGAGGTAATTTGAATTAGAAGTATAATAGTAGTGTTAGCTGCTAGAGTTTTTAATTAATCTAATTTTATGCAATAGCATTTATGTATTTAATTACTTAATTTGCAAGTTAAGCAGTCTTTATTATTAGATTGATCAAAAGCATATAATTTGTAACTTACTAGTTTTTATTTCTTTTGTATTAGTCTATTACAAGACTAGCAATACCAGTCAAAAAAATTTTGCAGATTATGTAATCACATACATATGATTAATATTTATCACCAGATTAAATTAAAGTCCTTGTTTTAGTCTGACAATAATGGCCTTGAAGGTGTTGTGAAGTATGCCAGTCAATTAATAAAGTCTGCTGAGTATCACTCCAAAGAATAATATTTTGAGATAATATATCTAAGTAGTTTTAGATACAGGGTTTAGAGTTAGGATTAGAGTAAACTAATTAAATTTATTTTCTTTAGCTTTAGTAAAGAAAATGCTGCAGCAGAGGTGGCAGCCATAGTGAAAACATCAACTATCCTTTATGAAGCAAAAGATTTACAAAAAATTCATTTTTAAATAGAAGTTTTTTTATTAAACTTTTAACTTGTATTTAAACTGTGCATATGAATATAATATCTAAAAATTCTATGGTCTTCATTTTATGTAATCTGCAAAATTTTTTAAACTAGCATTTTAAATATTGTTTTAGCCTATCTACTAAATTATAAAAAAGTTAATAGTATTATTAGCTGATTAGAGTGTAAAGACTTGCAATTAGGGACATGTAAAATTTGAAAATTAATAAATAATGTAAATTTTTGTATATCTTTGCTTACAGTTAGGGTTAAGATGTCCCAATATTAAACATACTGACTAACTTGTTTTTAGTAAAAGAGTATAAAGCAGAAGCAACAGCTATAGTATAGTGAATAAAAAGTGTTTAATCACCTTATTAGTTTGATATATGCTTAAATCGATCAAACATATATATATTGTGCCCAGAGATATACTGTATACAGTATTATACATACTGTATATAAAAATTTTTACTAATATAAAGGTGACTCTTCATTTAGTGCATTAGTATAACAAATTATTTTGTGTAATGAATAAGTATTAAACAATATAGTCTATTAATTTATGCTTATTTGTTACAACATATGATTCAACACACCTCTGTGACAAATGAAATTTATTTTAATATATTTAAATCTAATTTATCCTAGTATACAATAGTTACATAACTAGCAATACCAAAATTTAATTAATAATACTTATATATAAAAAAGTTAGTAATTATAAAATTTTTTTAAAATTTTTTTTTTTTTTTTTTTTTTTTTTAAAGAGAGGTCTATCCTCTATCTCTTTTATTAATTAGTTAATTATACATA